TCTAGCCTTTCTCTTCTTGGATATATTTATGAATCCTCAACTTTAGCAATACATAGAAAAACGTTCCGTTCTTGAACACATTTATGAAATCTGTTCATGTCACATAAAACAACACATTATTTGAAATGTCGAATATCGGGATAAAAAAAGGCAAAGATTTATCGTGATCTGATTCACCAATTGTTTGGAAACCCTACTTTAAATATATTTTCTGCTACCTATTAACCAAAGTTGTTGCGTGGCCATGATCGGGGAGATTTTGGCTTCAAGTAGACAAAACAATTGGGATTTCCACTAACAAAAGTGAAAATAATATGCACATATTTCCAAAGTTTACTTGCATGGTACGTTTAGTACGGGGTCTGAGATTTTAGAGGTTCTATGCAAAATTTATATAGGGCACCTTCTTTAGATAGTTTTTCAAAAAGTAGGACAAAGTATTGTTGCTCAAAAAACAATGATTAAATCAAAACAAATTTTAGGACTTATTGATTATAAATTTAAAAATGTATTTAAAAAATAAGTAAAGAGTTACAAACATAACATTCACTAGATAATTAAAAGCAGTTCATTCTTAAACAACTAAACAAGAAGAAAGAAAAAAGCTTCTAAAACTCTAACTTTAGCGTCACTTGAATGTATAGCATTATTATATAATAAAATTGAAAAAAAAATTATGGTTTTGTTATTGGCAATCCAAATATCTTATTGTGCACTCCAAATTTTAATATTTAAAGGAAAAGACTTGCACTTATGAGTAGTCAAGTCTAAAGTAAAGATAAATTTTTAGAAACTTTAATGAAAAGTCCCAGTACTGTTCACTTTAACGAAAAACCACATTTTTACACTAAAAAGTTAATCCTGATACTATTCACCTTACCCTTTATTTTGTCTTTATCGTTAAAACTCAAAGTTTTCAAGTCATTTTCATTAGTTTTCCTTAAATTTTTTGTATATATAGCATGACAAAATTTTTAAAAACTCTTTCAAACTAGGGGCCATGTGCGGTTGCACCTTTCGCTCTCTCCCAAAACCGCCTTTGTATCTATACACAAAAGCAATTTATTGCTTCAAAACGAGCATAAAAAAATTAAAAAAGGTAACGCTAGGTAGACCAAATTCTCAAATCAAATAATGTGTTACCAATAGAAAATAAGCGCGTTAATTAGCACTAAAGTAATAATTCAATCATTAACAACCACATCATTTGGTTTACAAAAATTTCGTTTAAAATTTTGGTGTCTATAGCATTATCCAAAAACAATTAGTGATTTGAGTGGTAGTGTGTGGGACGCTGAAAAGAAAGGCCGAGAAGATAAAGGGAACTCTAATTCGTTTTTTTTGACTGAATCTAAAGTCAAGATTGTGTTGGCATTCATATGGAATACACTCTCCCTTCCTTTTTCTTATATTATCTAATACCCACTCTCTTTTCCACACTCGGTGCTTTCTTCCTCAGCAATCCATTGGTGATCATTTTAGCAGGTTTTTTTTTAAATTATTTATCAAAATTTAGTAAATTCTGACGTAAAAGGTATATGAAGGTCCAAATCCTCGTACTTAAAAAAAGAAAAAGAAAAAAAAGGGCCAGCTAGCGGTGAAATCCTCGTAGTCTACTATTTCAGAAGACGGGAAAATTCAGTTATTTCAGTTTTTTATTGACCACCATCGTGTGATTTACTAACGCCAGTAATCAAACCAGGACCTTGTACTTGATATTTAAGTTGGTGTATTGTGGCATGCATGATTGAAAACCGACCCCAAGAGTTTTATCTAGGCCTTCACCATATTTTTTTTCTTCTGAAAATATGATTTTAGCCCCTAAAACTCAAGTTTCCTTACATAAACCCCAATATAATCTTTTTATTTGAATAAAACCCAATGACTAGGCTCCACATAAGAAAATTCATTAATTTTGTTTGCCTTTACACATTTTGTATTTTTCAGATGCCTAAAATACTCCTAATTACAGTTTTAATGTATACATTTAATTCTATGCAGATTTGAAGGGAGAGATTAATGGGGGGGAAAATGCATTGATTTAAAATCATTGCATATTAACATATCATAACAAATTTTGTCACATCCCGGCCCGGACCCCACCACATCTCGAGCTCGACTCCGTCATAGCATGATATTGTCCGCTTTGGGCCTCGACCACACCCTCACGGTTTTGTTTCTGGGAACTCACACGAGAACTTCCCAGTCATGGGATTTGGATTTTATTTGTCTACATGGTACTCTATTTGAAATTTGGATTTTATTTGGATGTTTAATATTAGGTGGATTTTTTTTTTTTTGAAAAATAAGAGTTTCAAGGACCTTTTTCTAAAGAACTTTTTTTTTTTTTTTTTTTATCAAAACGGAGAGTTAATAATCCCAATTTTGAAACCTCTTGCGACGCCAGAAAGAAAAATACTATTAAAGAATTTGATTAAAAGAATTCCCACTAAAGGATTGATTGAAAACTTCTACCTTGATGATTTCTGATTACATTGGCATCCGTATGGCAGCTCAACGAAGATTCCAGATCGATTATCATATCAAATCATTTAAACAGTTTACTTAGAGAACATTACACTTTAGTTCACGCTAATTTATTTCATATGCATGCCCATGGAATCATGTGATTTAGGTCTTTTTTCTTGATGGCACAAATTTTGGTGATTACAGCATATACTTATGAGCTTACATATACAAATCCCACCAAATATTTGATGTCTACGGAATCAGGTGATTTAGGTCTGGCTAGCTAGCTATACTTCAAAATCGCACCAAATAAGAAGGTATACGCTGTGCTTATGCATGCCCATGGACGAGCTAAGCTACACGAAAAGAAGCTATATTACTGGACAAACTAAAATAATAGAAATAATATAACCGAAATAAATAGAAAAAGATAGAAAGGGAAGGGAAAGCCTGAATTATTGCTTCTGCTTTCATATTTGTAAGAAAAAAAGGTTACGCAGGATTTGTGTTGCCTCTTTTCCGGTGTAACTGCCTTGGAAGTCTTACGTTTCCTCTTAAAATATGATGTTGATAAAGTTGTTTGTTCTTTGTATTGATCTTCTTCCTCATCGCTAATCTCTTCCGGTCTGCTGATTATGTTCTACTGTTAGCACTAATCGCCAATTTTTCCGTTTTAATCTCAGATATTTGAAGCTTATTGTACAATTGCGTTAGAGACAAAGTTGGTCGAGATCAAGCTTCAAAATCATGCATGCATGTGGTGCTAGTAAGTAATCTCGATTTTATTTGCTTTCAGTAGTTTGAAATCAGCCATATTTTAAGTCGATCTAACTATTACAATTGTGCTTATCATCTTATCTTTTGATGTGTATATATATGATAGGCTTTTTCACACCTATGAAAAGAAGTTAAAATCACACAAAAATACTTGCAAGAGTCCAAGGTTATCCTAGTATAACAGTTCATGCAAGTCGTTTTCCACAGAGATAGAATGAATAATTTGTGTTTAAAACTAACTCTTAATTAATTATTTAAAACAAAGTTTGGAAAATGTTGATTTTGAGATTTTAATATAATAAAAACGAATTTAAATTAAAACAATTAAATCAATCAACTAGAAACCAATTTAAAGAAAATCAATTTAAAGAAACACTAGGGTTCCACCGTCACTTTAACAATGCTACATAGTTCGTCCAATTACTTATGGATTACTCATGCATATTTTGAAGGTTAAGTTTTCCTAATATATGTCCTACTTGGAACCTTCAATATAAAACGTATATCTAACATCCAACCCATCCGGACGTTCGGATCAAATATGAACATGAAAGACTCATTAAGTTTTATGAAAACCCTTTGAAAAACCATGCAACCCTTAAGACATGGTGTTCATCTTAAGTGAAATTACAATTATTAACCACAAGAAGCCAGCGTCTATTTCAGGAAACCTTCCGACCAAAATTGCATCAGATTACTTTTCTAAATATCTTAATGGCTGCGAATCACTAAGACACTTAGATAGTTTAATCACAGTGATTAATAATTCAAAACATGCATGCATAATATCATAAATAAATTGAAAAGAAACTACATATTCTTGCTAAGGCTTGTAGCTTTGCCCTAACAAAAGAAATTACGAACAATCATAAGACAAAGTATTATTGAGAACATGAAAAGAAAGCATCTTGAAAATAAACTTGAATTGTGCAAGGCTCTCTAAAGTAGTGCGCCTCCTCCTCTCCTTCTCCAAACCCTAATGGCTAAATATCTATATTTATACTCCTACAAAATAAAACCTTAAAAGGTCTTAGAATAAAACTAGGAAACATAATAAAAAAATAAAACAGAAAATAAAATGTTTCCTATTTAAACTAAAATTTGGACTTCTAAAAAAATCAGACTTTTGACTGACCAAATCAACTCCGATTTGGTCCTAAAATTTCTCTTTTGAAAGCTTAAGTTGTTCCCTACAAATCTCAGAAGGAATATTTCTTAAAATATGTCATCTTAACCTCCAAAATATCCAAAATATCCATAAACATCAATCTGGGAAAGCTGCGCGCTGGGCCTTTATTTCATTGACAAGGTTAAACGGCTCGGTAGAAAAATCTGAAACTTTGACACAATCATCTTAAAAGACCCACAAACATCCTCCAGTTAGAATCACTTCAAAATTCATCCGTTTGATTACTTTATGATCAAGAGGAAGTCGCATATCCTAAATTAGAAATATAATTTAAAGTATCAAAATAATCAATAAATTATTACTAAGATTAGAGAAAAATATATAGTAAAATATTGACTCATCAAATTATAAACTCATCTTCTTATATTAATATTTATTCCTAAATCTGAAGTATTCATCTTCTTCTTATAGTGGTATCTTATATAATGAAAGCAATAGCACTAGGTAAACACACTTTGCTTTTTTCAATTCTTTTTCAATTATTGTACCCACCTTTGCATCCATGATTGAACTTCTCCCTCCATAAATACCCTTGTTGAGAGCGTGCATGTGTCCTCCACACTTCTCCAATATCTCTCTACTCTCTTCCTCAGTCCACGACACACCCATAAACCCTCATTCCTCATTATCCGCTTCTCCCGTTAATATTTCCATGGCACCAAACAGCCAATCATCCCTAAGTGAAGGCAAGTGTGTCATCCCAATGACCACAAACGACCTCGAGCACCAAACAACCCTAGACCAAAAGGAGTTTGACTACTCCAAACGTTCCCAATGGCTCCGCGCCGCCCTCCTAGGTGCCAGCGATGGATTAATCTCAACTGCGTCGTTAATGATGGGAGTTGGAGCTGTGAGACAAGACATTAAGGCCATGATACTAACCGGGTTCGTGGGACTAGTAGCCGGGGCATGTAGTATGGCCATTGGAGAGTTTGTCTCCGTGTACTCCCAGCTGGACATAGAGGTGGCTCAAATGAAAAGGGACAATCAGAAAAAGAAAAAGAACCAACAAGTACACGTGGTAGAAGATGATGGTGGCGATGGAGATGATGAGGAGAGTCTGCCCAATCCTTTACAAGCAGCAGCTGCATCAGCACTGGCGTTTTCGGTGGGAGCAATGGTCCCATTGCTAGCAGCATCGTTTATAAGGGGGTATAAGGTGAGGTTAGGAGTTGTGGCCGCGGCTGTGAGCTTGGCTTTGGTGGTGTTTGGGTGGTTGGGTGCTAAGTTGGGGAAGGCACCAGTTATGAGATCAGTGATGAGGGTTTTGGTTGGAGGTTGGATGGCCATGGCTATTACCTTTGGGTTAACCAAGTTGATTGGCTCAAGTGGGCTATGAGACCCTTTGATCTAACACGCCCATGAATATTGTGCTACAAGATCTTTCGTTATTTTTTCCTGTTGGATTTTGTGTAATGAAATGTAAGATGTTCATTGGAAGTGAGATGTAACTTCTTAAAGAAATGAAACGCATAATTGTAGTATGAGAAGTAATTTCGTACACTTCACTCCTCATGCATCTATTTTTTATTTCCCTTAATTTCTTTGTAAGTTATTCAATTTAAAAATAAAAATATAAAAATGTGCATAAATCCACTTCTTTATGTTGTTGTTTGAATGATGAATTGATTAATTTTAGTAAGAAATCACAGAGTGCTCAAGGAGGAAGAAGAATGGAATACATTGCTCCTACAGTTTCATTGACTGAAATCGATTACAAACACTGTAGTTGTGAAAAACAGATCCGAGAAGCAAGGAGAACAAAAATGACCATTGGAACAAGAATCCTAAGCTTCCTCGCATGGATTGCCCATGTTTACTCAACTATGCACAGCTACAATGGCAGCTGGCACACTATACACCTTTGAGATGTTATAATCCTAGCCGTCTACTACACTAGAACTATAATTCTAAGAACCTAAACAGAAACTGAAGAACAAAGCTTAACAATATTTTTTAGAAAAACTAATAAAAAATGCTTGAAAACTTTGAGTTTTAACGATAAAAACAAAATAAAAGGTAAAGTGAATAGTACCAGGATTGATTTTTTAGTGCAAAAATATGGTTTTTCGTTAAAATAAATAGTACCGGAAGTTTTCGGTTAATGTTCTTTTTTTTTTAATAGAACAAAGCTTAACAATATTAGTAACGATTGATAGGTCCCCAAAAGAGACAAAGATAAAATAATATTAGTAATCGCAAGTGTACAGATGTTAAGATAGTATACAAAATAAGCACATATAATACATATCGTCCCAAAGAAATTGATCTAATTCTAACCATCAGACTTAAGTCCATTTGCTACTCTATGTTAGCTAAACAAAATACTAGAGCATCCGATTCCCCCTTAAACCGTAAACCATCTAGAGTAAACATATTCTTACAAGTTAACCATCAATGATTTAGACTGGCTAAACACAAAAGAATTCATACGATACGATCTTCTAAAACTAACATAGAAACATCGTACATGAATCCTAAAGCATGGATGGCATCTACCTCTAAGTAACAATTCATGGTATCAATTTGCAAGGAGCTTAATTAAACTCATTAAGATGGTAGCTAATCACACTAGATAATTAGCTAGATAGAATCAATCGTTAAATATAAGAAGAAATTTACGTTGAAATCTCTCTCCATGTTGTCACATCAATAACCACACCATGTGGTTTATCCATTATGTTTAGAAATGATTTTGGGACGGATCGAATTGGAAACAAAGCCTTTTAATTTTATTCCAAAATTTCAAAATCAGATCATATCAGAAATTTCAAATTCAAAATTTTCGAAATCAGAATAATCTTAAAATTTTTTAAATTCATCCATTTACAAGATTTTAGTATTCTCGAACTTTTCCGTACATACAATTTATTTTATTTTTAATATTTGGGATAAACCTACGTATAAATTCAATTATTTTTATGATATAATTAACATAAAAATAACGAATAAAAGGCATTCAAAACTAACAATAAACTACAAAACTTTCCAATAAATAATTTTGGCAAATATAATAAAGCTAGAATATTTTAGAAAACAAACTAGCAGAATACATTCTGAACACTTCAAAAAAAGACGTCTTGAAATGTCTAAATGCACGACATTTCAATTTTTTGAAAATATTCAGATTAAACAAAAATATCAGGTTCGAATGTATAAATTCATAAGATGTTAACGACAAACTGAGAAACACCATATCAATTTGCACCCCTAATTATGTTTTTGATCAACACATACTACACTTTCCAGTATTCAAGCATGAAAGGGAAGCATTCAAGGAAGCACCGAGGGTTAAAACACTCTAGAACAAAATTGTAGTACTCCAAAGTCAAGAAATGCTAAGAAGACTCTCCATGTACTTTCCGTCACCTCGTGTTTCCCGTGACAAAATTATAGAACATGGTGCAGAATCACAAGGTGACAGAATGTTCATGTAAAGTCCCCCTTTAAGAGAGTTTTCTTGGCATTTCTCTTCCAAAGTATGGTCATTCGCGTACAGAGGCAAAAACATTGAGGTCCTCAGGATCGAACGATCGAGAAATCAATGAAGGCACCAAGAGAGTAATTTCTATTTGAGGTTTCCTTGTATTATACCGTTAGCAAAACAACGACAACATACATACGTGCCAACAACCTTACAGCTTTAATGTCGAATTCAGATCATTCCTGTCGGGTTTTCCAAGAGGACTGAACAAAACTGTTTCGGCATGACAAATCAACCCTTACTCATCCAAAGCAGCGGCCGCGTGAGGCCGAAACACATTTTCTTCCATCAATATCAACTTGGATCAACTTGCCACGGCATGGGGTGGGGTATCATAAACTCTAGAGAAACTAAAGTTCAAAAGTTTACCAAAAAAAAAAAAAGAAAAAAACTAAAGTTCAAAAAGGCAAAAGAAAGTATCAACGCTAGATGGACAAAAAATGCAATGCGGACTCTTGGAAAAATGACCTCATGGAAACGCTAACCGGAACCTTTTCTCCCCCTTCACATATGATTGCCTTGAATTTAAGTGCCTAAAGGTATTTGTGCCACTTACGATCAAAAATAGATCTGCAACGAACCTTGGTATCCTTTCTGATTGCAGCTGAAGTCAGCGAAGCCTCCGAGTGTTGTGTAATAAAAGAATTTGCTCAAATATATAGCACTAGCTTTTCTCATGGTATCTCGAAAAGCTTCTTCAATTTCACAAGCAGCTTCCACTCCTCCATTGACAGTTCATCCTGCATTTTTAAATTACAGTTAATAATGATGGTTCACATTACATCGTCCAAAAGGTAAACTGTATGAGAAAATGAAACTTACTCGGTAATTTGCTTTAAGTACATCAATCGAATTCCTTGAGATTTGGCTGACAAGTTCATCATCAATCTCAAAATGCCTACCAAACATCTTTTGCTGTTCTTCGGAATTTGACCCAATAATCTGCAAAAACACAAGAAGAAAACTGCAATAAGCATAAGGACAATTAAGTGTAAAGGTTTCTTTTCAGCATTACAAAGAATTAAGTTGGAGAGAGAGTAAGAGAAATATCAGAAGAAACACAAACAAACTCCAAATGATCAGCTACAAAACACAGGGAAAGCCAAGACCAACAGTATTAAGAAATGGTCAGCTAGAAAACAAAAAACAAAAAGCAATCAAACAAACTAAAAGCAAGATCACAACCGCAATAACAAAGCCAATCCAGATGACAATATTAGCACACAATCAGCTAGCCAAAATCACCAAGGAAAACAATAGTAGGTAAGAACCAGATCACCCTCGGATTTAAATATCAATTAACAATGTAGGAATCAAACCTCAAAGGACATGAACCTCATAGGTGAGTTTTTACTACAACAACAACAACAACAACAACAAAGCCTTTTCCCACTAAGTGGGGTCGGCTATATGAATCCTAGAACGCCATTGCGCTCGGTTTTGTGTCATGTCCTCCGTTAGATCCAAGTACTCTAAGTCTTTTCTTAGAGTCTCTTCCAAAGTTTTCCTAGGTCTTCCTCTACCCCTTTGGCCCTGAACCTCTGTCCCGTAGTCACATCTTCGAACCGGAGCGTCAGTCGGCCTTTTTTGCACATGTCCAAATCATCGGAGCCGATTTTCTCTCATCTTTCCTACAATTTCGGCTACTCCTACTTTACCTCGGATATCCTCATTCCCAATCTTATCCTTTCTCGTGTGCCCACACATCCCACGAAGCATCCTCATCTCCGCTACACCCATTTTGTGTACGTGTTGATGCTTCACCGCCCAACATTCTGTGCCATACAACATCGCTGGCCTTATTGCCGTCCTATAAAATTTTCCCTTGAGTTTCAGTGGCCTACGACGGTCACACAACACGCCGGATGCACTCTTACACTTCATCCATCCAGCTCGTATTCTATGGTTGAGATCTCCATCTAATTCTCCGTTCTCTTGCAAGATAGATCCTAGGTAGCGAAAACGGTCGCTTTTTGTGATCTTCGCTAGATTGCTCCGGTCATTAGTGTGGATAAGTATATAAATGGATAGAGATAGGAAAGCAAACACAAGATGTACGTGGTTCACCCAGATTGGCTACGTCCACGGAATAGAAGAGTTCTCATTAATTGTGAAGGGTTTACACAAGTACATAGGTTCAAGCTCTCCTTTAGTGAGTACAAGTGAATGATTTAGTACAAATGACATTAGGAAATATTGTGGGAGAATGATCTCGTAATCACGAAACTTCTAAGTATCGGAGTGTGGTGTCGTCTTGACTTGCCTTATCTGTCTCATAGGTAGATGTGGCATCTTCTCTGGAAGTACTCTTCCTCCATCCAGGGGTGGTATCTTTAACTGGTGGAGATGCACAAGGTAATGTATCAATTTCACTTGAAGCTTACTTGTAGTTTCAGGCTTGGTCAAGCGCGATACAAACCATGTAGTAGGAGTCCCCAAGTCGCCGAGCTAGGGGGTCTGCTGAAAGAGGTGACAGACAAGGTAGCAATCAGAGCTCCGACTGATTGTTCACCTTCTCCCCATCTTGCAGCAGCATGAAGGATAAAGAGAAGAAAAATGAGAAGAGATGATATGAGATACTTTTGCTTTTGAAGAAGTAACTTTCCACAGGCTTATTCTTGAACTGAGCTGGAGGGTTTTCTGGTTTCCTCCAGAGTATAAGGCCGACTGAAGAATTTGAGGGTCAAAACAAGTCCATCAAATCTAGAGTACGTTCCACCCTGCTGATATGGGATACTTTTGCTTTTGACAGAGTAATGGATGTATCGGCACGTGTGCTGTTACGCTTGTCTCCACATGCTTCCTTGTATCCTTCGCACTTGCCCTATCTGTTCCTCAAGCAGATGCGGAATCTTCCCTGGAAACATAAGATGTTGAAGATGAGTACTCGAGAGCAATGCCAGGTAAGTAATCAGGTAAGGGGTTCCAGGCAGTCAGTTCCTGGCTGGAAGCTTGATTCCAAGTGCTGACTGATTGCTCTCTTTCTCCTTGTCTTGCAGGTAAAAACAAGGCCAAAGGAAAAAG